TTTCTTGTTTGATCTATTAATTACATCAAAGGATTAAATATCCTTCTGCCTTACCTACTTCCATGGCCCTGCAACTAAGATATAGTGGAAGAAGTTACATAATGTCACTGCACTTATTTTGACCTCAGAACAGTTAGTCTTTATTAAATATCATTAGCACTTATAAGCAATGATGATAACAAAAGAATGATCATGGTCATATTATGAACCATATAATCTATTCCCTCCACAATACACACGAGACTACCAGTAGTGTTCTGATCACACTCTAAGAAAAACTGTATAAATTAGCAGGTTTCTTTCCTTTAGGTGTTAGCCTAAATGTCAGTTCCTCTGGGAAGACTTCCCTGATTTCCCTTCCTTTACACACTAAAGTAGATACTTTCCACTATGAGCTCCCGTAGCACTCTATATGTCCCCTCTTATAGGAGTCATCGCATCTTATTATCATTGCTTGCTTTGTTAACTATTTTCCAACTGGACCATAAGGTCTATGAGGATAACCACCACGTCAGACTTGCTCACCATTTTATCACCAGGGGTCTTGAAAATACTAAGAATGTTATAAACAGTTGAAGAAACTGTTGAAGGGAAGAAACGGAGGGAAGAAAAAGGAGCGGAGGGATGAAGAAACTTTTCAAATATTAGGGAAGACAATTGTCCAATTTATTTAGTATTCAAATTGCAATCATATCGACAGTACTTTTGGACAGTACTTTTGGAGCTGGGATTTCACCAGCTCTTTCCTGTACTTACTGATTTGCTGAAAATAATACCAGAAAGTTATTTCCTCCTCTGATTCCTCTAGGAGATGAAGACACAAATCATAGAGTCTGAGTGACTTAAGCCAGAGTGGTTCTTCTTGGTTTTTATGTCATTGTTTTGGAGTGAGCCCAGCTATCCATACTATACCATCAGTACTGTATCCTAAACATCTATCATTTTCCCATCTTACTCTTGCCTGCATTGGTAGACTTTCAACCTTTCCTTTGACTCATCCCCCAAAATACAGAGGATTACCCTCATTCTAATGGAAGGGAGAGAGTGTGTGGATCATCCAAAGGAGGAGGTTGTCCAAACATTGTCTGTTTGGCGTTCAATGCATCATGTAGATTTTCATATAACTAGAATTCACCTATTACTCAGAAAACTAAGAATTCTTCTATAAGTGGCATTCTAAATTTGGAAACCACATCTGTTTTGAACAATTGAATCATTGCCTTTCAGGTGCCAAAAATATCACCTATCATATTCTCCAGGGTTCAAACAAACAGGAAGGAGGAAAAGAGCAAAGAACAACTTGAGGAGAAAGGTAACATGAAGCTTCTCCAGTCACATAAATTATTATTAAAAATAACTATAATAAATTGAAACAAGTAATAGTAGCAATAAAAACTAGCATTCAATAGCAATTAATAAAACAAGGCCTCACATGACCTTCCTAATCTCACTACGAGGGAAGGAGGCTAGTATTCTTAGCATCCTCATTTTGTAGATGAAGAAACAAAATCAGAGAAATTAAGTCAATGGCCCAAAGTCACACAGCTAAGCCTGGGCTCCAACCCAAGCCATCAGACTTCAAATCCTGTATTCTATCCCTTATTCAAATAGCCTGACCACTGATTTATCTAACCACTCCCAAATGAATCCATTTTGGTAGGAAATCTGCCCTTTACCCCTCATTGTGGGCCTAAGGAGGGTCAGTAGGATTTCCTTGAACATCCCATAATAAAGAAGAAACAAAGATTCCATTTCTAGCTTTTGTATGAGGATTCCAGGTATATATTCTTATTAAAATCTTAATTGGCCTATCTCCAAACTGGTTTTGAGGGTTTGCAGGAAAGAAGTTTGGTCACTCTGCCGCAGTTTGTACCTTAGACTCTAATTCCCCACACCCCCTCTTCCTCCCACAGGGGACTTCAGAAACAGCCAAAGCAACTTTTCAAATGGCAAAGCATGGTGACCCTTCTCCGGTTTCCCAGCCCTCATCTCCCCAGGGCAGACCAGGAACTAGTACATCCTGGGCTGTGGTGAGACACTCTCATCCTGGAGCCCCTAAGAAGTGAGTCCAGGCTGTTGAGCCAATGGAAAGTCTATCTCATGAATCAAATCTCAGGGAATCTGTGATCCAGCAACACCTCCGGCTGATATCCACTTAAGGCAATAATCTGGCAAGAGCTTTGTAAAAGAGAGTTGGAAAAAGAAAACTACTTAGGGAAATGACTGAAGGGCTACTAAATGATACAAGGAGGATGGAACTGTGGCAGATAGTATTTTCCAAAAATGACTGCCAAAATATTTTTGGTCCTATTCATTCTTCCAGAATCTTGCCACTCTGCCATTGAGAGGAATTTATTTCCTCTCCTCTCAAATCTCCAGTGGTCTTGGTGACTGTTTGGATGAATAGACCATTGTTGAAGTGACGCCCTGGGACCTCTGAGGGTAGGTTAGAAAAGGTGTACAGTTTCCACCTGCCTCTCTCTTGGGCGTCTGGCTTCAGAACCTTAGGGGGAAGCCCAGGCTATATGAAGAACATACGTAGGTATTCCAGTTATCAGTCCCACAGCTGACAGCTGCCATCAGCTTTCAGACATGTGAGTGAACAAGCCTTCTGATAATTCCAGTTGCCAGCCTTTAAGTCACCCCGGCCTTGGAGTTTTCTAGCTGACACTTCAGACATCATGAAGCAAAGGCAAACCATCTCCGCAGTGCCCTGCAAGGATTCCTGACCCACAGACTCCACAGGCATAATGAATGGTTGTTTTATGCCAGTAAGTTTTGGGGTAATTTGCTGCACAGTAAGATATAATCAGAACAAGAACCTAGCCCTGAGGGGACCCCTGGGCATGTTCTATTTGCAATAGCCAAAAGATGACTCCAGGCCATACTACTAAGTCTAGCACCACCCCCCTGACGCCCCCTCCCAGAAGCCTTCTGTATATAGGTCATTTCTCTTAGAGGCTCCACTGCTCCTCCCTGCAATCACACTTGGCCCTCCCTGGGCAGATCCATCAGACATGTTTTTAAAGGTCTGAATCTCAACTGTACACAGGGTTTGAACCTTTCTCCTTAAGTTTCTTGAGCCCTGGACAAATTAGGAGGTAAGCTTAGCTTACTGATCACTTACTTAGCTCCCGTGTTTCAGTCTTTGAACATCCTGAGATGGTTAAGGAGTATGCAGTGTGGAGGGTGAAAGGTAGTGGGGAGAAAGGGAAGAACCTAACTCCCAACACCTTTGTCTCAGTTCTGACCTAGAACTCTTATATATTTATATCTACTTATATAATTACATGACCACAGGAAGAGCCTTCACTCTCAGTGCCATGCTAGCACTAGGCATTTTACTTCCAATGACAACCCTTTGATTGGGTCATTGGACTCAAAACTGGAAAAGCCAAAAATATAGAAACTTGTCTATCTTGTACACTGTTGTAATACAAACACTTAGAATAATGCCTAGAACATAGTAAGCACTCAAAAAATATCTTTTGAATGAATGAGTGAAGGAAATTCTCCCCTCTTTTTAGAGATCAATATATAATATCGATTAGCCTAATGTGATTAGAAAACCATAGTGTTCAATAGGTGGACACATTCTACTGTATTAGGTACTACATTTTTCAACCTGCTCAAAGTAAGTGTTAAACCTTAAAACTGTGAGTTCCTCGAGGGCAGAGACCATGTCTTATCCCATTTTGTATCCTAGCACCTGGCACTTTGCCTGGTACCTGCCAAGGGCTCAGTAAAGATTAAATATTTAAACATTAAAAACTAAATACATGTAAAACAGAGACTAGCAGAGATATTTCAAATCATTTAGATCTCCTAGGTTTGGCCTAGTAGAAGACAGTGACAAATAAGGGTGCTGGCCAATGCACTTGATCCCCAGAGGATCGGACTGGGATGCAGGAGTCCAGAAGTCCTGAGGCTTCCCAGCCTCCAAAACCCTTTGAGAACAAGAGGATTCAAAAGGCTATCTGTGATCTAAGCATTACATAGGTAGCAATACAAAAAGGTGTACAGACTTCCCCTTGAGCAATCAAAAGGGCTTTTCTATGATTGCTCCAAATAGGATTTTCTTTCACAGCTAATTTTATACATGAGCCATTCATTCATCTTCCATTCATTTACCCATTCATCCCATATTAATGGGGGTTGTTGCTATTTTTCTGCAAAGACTTCTTTAATCTGCTCAAGAGATCGTTGAGTGTTCAGAAGATCCCCAGTCCCTGGAAAAGGGCCTAACGAGGCAAGAAAAGATGTGTTATCACCATTTTGTAGAGGTAGATGAAAATTGTAGACATAAGATCTTCACAATTCAGAATTAGATTCCAGTGTATTTCAAGATGTGATCTGCATTGGGTAGAATCACCTTGACAGATGACTATTAAAAACAGAGATGTCTGGGATCCACTCAGATCAGAAACATCAGGAGTGAGATTGGAAACTTTACAAGCAAAGCAAACTCTGGTGATTTTGATTGTACTCAAATTTAAGAACTGTTCTCCAAAGCTGTCTTGCTAATAGGATCTACATGCAATTGCTTAATATAATATAGCTTCCCCCACATCTCTATAAAACTAAGATGTTACTTGGCTGATTCTAAGACACCTAGAAATAGCGTAAATATGGCTCAGAATTTCACTAAATAAATGTAATCATTCCTCCTTAAACTAACTCAAAATAAACCTCTGCAAAAAGAAAATAAACCTATCCTTCCTTTAAGAAACTCACAATTTAGAAGCAAACTATTAGGAACTATCTGTTATTGAAATAGAGAGGTGTTTAAACCTTGATATGGCACACTCAAACCTTTCTCAATTTGAAAAACAATAAACAACAATCATCGAGTGAGAGGGAGGTCCAGACCTTAGGAATCTGGACTGTACTGTTTTTCTTCCCTGGTTCCCACAGTGCTGACGTTCAGCTGGGATCCAGTAACCTTTTTCTTGCTTTACCCCAAAACTCACTCATCTTCTTCCCAGAAGACTTTTACTCACTTTCTGAATTTTCCTAATCTGGTCAGAGAGTGTGTCTAACAGGCGAGTTTTCAGGAAGTCCATCACTTTGACCACCCGGCCATCAATGTAGCAACTGGAATAAAAATAAAATAAGAATCAGATAAAATTTTGAGCAGGAGACTACAAATATACTTCTCTAGCCAGAGGTCTCTGTTGCCTGAGTAAACAGGCCAGGGTTCACTTGGGCTCTTATATCCTGAAAAGTTTTGACCTTGAGTAATTATCAAACAAATAATATACTTTTTATCTTCTTCATTTCCACCTCCATTCGTGGGCTAATATTGTGAGTTTTTTTCCAACTTTTGTCACATGAAACTGCATTGGTTGCTCTATAGGAACTGACAGGAATCCATAACACAAATTGGGTAATGGGGAAAAGCTTACTTTTTTCCCCTAAGGAAAGTAATTTAACACCCATCCCATATCATCTCTACCCCCACCTTAAAGTAATAAAGGGTGTGTGAGAGGTTTGAAATAATACTCAAACACATCGGTAGGTTTCCACACTTTAAATAAGAAAGCAAATACTAACCACAAAAATCTGATCTAGTGCAGTAAGTTCCCTGGGCAAAATACCTTATAGTCAACCGTCTCCTACCATCTCCAGAATAAATGAATCGATAAGTGAATAAACAAACACATAAGTCAGGCAGATTAAAGTCCAAGAGCCCTCTCCTAAAATGGTAACAAGTTTGGCACACATTGGTGTGGTGGTGTCCAGGTTTTGTTAGGCAGCTTAAGTGAAACATTAAGCTGTGCTGATAGTATGTTGTGAACATTTGATGGAAACAGGTCCATCCAGCTTGGTGGAGACCCTCTTTGTAAATCCTTACTCTGAAGACTAAGCTGAGACTGGCCCAGGGTCAGATGACCTTCATCATCTCAAACCTCCCTACCTCCATCTTTGCAAAATTCTGAACTAAATCAATTTAATTTAAATCAATGCTTATAACTCTTGGGTGCCTTTTCCAACCCACTTAGATCTCCTTGGCTGATGGCTAATTACTTTCATTTTTAATAAGACACCAACCTACTAGTACATATTACAGAAACGCATGAAAATTCTTTTTAACGTTAAATTCCCACACCAATATGTAATGTAGTAGAATGGTTAAAAATTTTAAGCAGGTGCTCTGGTTGAAGTGAGGTGGGAGAGGAGTTCCCCCCACTCAGCCCTTCCCCTTAACCTCCCTCACCACCTCAGACATTTCCACAGAATCTAATGTTTAAATCGCTGGTATACAGGAAAGAGCATGGGTTTTGGATCCAGAGATATCTGAGTTCAAATTCCAAGTTAGGTATCTACTACCTTTATGATCTTTGGCACATTACTTGGCCTCTATGGGCCTCCGTTTTCTTATTCTTAGAGAAAACATATTTACTTCTTAGGGTTAATTGAAGATTAAACAGGTAACAAACCTAAAGTGTCTGGCACACAGTAGGCACTCAATAGCTCTTGGCTCTGTTCTAATTTCTCTAATTTTCAGCTCATAAAGATAGGGTCATAAACAATAGGGGACTGATGAATTAATTTTTGTATGAGTATAGAATCCTAAACGTGGAACTGCTGTGTCAAAGGGTACAGCTTTTCAAAATCTGAGGTGGTTACTTATATTAGAGAATAACACAAAACAATGACATGACCTTTCACCTCATTCCTGGTATAGATGCTAGGCTCAGATTTAATAAACATTTATTATGTGCAACACACAGTGCTGGGCATGTCCATGACCTCACAACCTCTTTCTTTTAGTACGTCACTGCTAGCTCCTCTGATTTTATTTAAAGCCATGATTAGATGGCATACTAGGTGAATGCTGGGCATATTAGAACAAAGTAGTGTTAAAATGAAAAATAACTTATGTAATGTTATTCTAACACACATTTAACATGAATACTAGTTACTATATGACATGATTACTAGGCATATGATAAAAATACACTGTAATTAGTGTTCTTTTATGTTTTAATTAAATATATTATAGTTTCCTCTTTTCTCTTTGTTAGCTCCCAGTAACTATTTTAAACATCAGTGTTTATGATTTTTGCTGGCAACATATTTTGTTTAATACTTATTGAGATAAAAATGCCAGATGTACTTTTTCAATATGTAGGATTCCCTGTGGACACCCTCCCTATCCCACACAATCCATGGCCCAGGGTCGAGGGTCCCTTCACTCTTCTCCTCCTTCCTTTTGTCCCTTTTTTCAAGTGCGCAGAACTTGGAGTTAGAAAACCTCAGTTCAATCCCATCTTTGCCACTTACTACCTATATGATGTTGGGTTTCTCCTTTAAAATGGGTTTTAAAAAAAGCTCAAATCTATAGTATTTTCATAGGGTTACTGTACTGATCAAATCAGGGAAAATGCTTGACATAGAACTTGGCACATAAAAGGTTTTCAATAACCAAATCTACCCTCCAGGTTAGGTAAGGGCCCAAGGTAGCACCAACTTAGACTGAAAAGCTGCAGAATGGGGTGAATGGGAGAGCATCTGGCTGGAGAAGGAGAGTGTGTTTATCCATGATAGAATTTGGAATGAGGGATGTATGGAGCAGCAAGAACAGACTCTGGATTCCCAGTAGGTGGGAGGCAGAGGGAGGGATGGAAAGGGCTGTGATGATGTTGCAAAAATATGGAGTCTGAAAAGACCTTAATGGTCATGGAGTCTTAAGCATGTAAGCTTGCTACAATATCCCTGAGAAGTGATTTCCTAGGACAGGGAACCGACGTTCATAAAATCCTAGTACTGTTCCACTGTACCATAGCTTGAATCAGTGAAAGGTACTTCTAATATCGGTCTAAAATTTGCTCCCTCTTACTGACCACTCGATGGCTGTTTTCTTAGACCCAGAAATAGTCCAATTTCTCTTTCACATAACACATTGGGGACAAATTCCAGTAAAAACTTTGGCTTAAGCTTTTTAGAGCCTATTCTTGGTCCCACTTTTAATCTAATAAACTAGATTCAATCATTCCCAGTTGGTCTCAAGCTATTCCTGTGGGCTGTGTATTAGATTGGAACAGGGGAGAGCTTCAAGCAGGAAACTAGTGTGATGAGGTTATCTTATCTCATTAGTGCAGGCAGAAGGAATCTGGGTCTAAGTAAGGGAGGTCATGGAAAGAAGTAAAAGTGAGAGGCTGTGAAGGAAGAACTAATAAAGCTTCTGAAGAGCGTAAGAGGAAGGAAATCAATGATGACACTGAGGTTATAAAAGAAAATGTCTTGGAGAACACAGGTGCCAAGGGTACGTCAGACTAGGGTTTAGCTTTCTCAAAGCAGATGAATGATTCTGTTTGGGATATTAAGGACACAGAGAATATCAAAGAGGAAATACACAATGGGTAGTTGGAAATATGAGAAGGAGGTGCAGAGAAAAATTGAGGCAGGAAATGTCGACGTGGGTGTCTTCTCCAGTTTATAAGTAATGGATGAAGCCATGGCTGTAGATGAGCTCTCCGAGAGAATAAGAGAAGTTAACAAGAGATGTCAGAGACTCTTTTAAAATGCTTCTCAAATATGGCCCTGGGCATTTCCTCTACCTTTGGCCCAGCTAAGAGTCCTGTCCTTTCCCAGCCTGACCATCACGGTGTCTTTTTAATTACCTCAATCTGAGTGAAATTCACATTTGGATGTCAAAGGAATCCTCATATTATACTAAGAAGTTTCAGCAACTTTCATTTGCAACCTTAGACCCACATTTATATTGTACTTTGGAAATACGAACTTTGGTCCCCCAGAATTCAGTATCATTTTTAAGAGAGAGGATAATTTAACCATAGGTATGAGTCTAATAAATACCCAGTTATTTGGTTGGTTGAAAAATTCCTGCGTGTTACAGAGCTTTGGTTCTGTGATAGTGGCAGCCTGTGATTAGGGACCCAGTTTATCATTTAGATTTGGACATGAAGGAGGTAGAGTAGCCTGTGGTAACCATTTGGTAAAAATAAATTGCTAAAATGATGAAGATGGTGATTTCTAACCAAGACTGGGTAAAAGGAAGTAAGGCTGGATTCCAACAGATTGTCCAGTGACCTGGGAGCAACTCTCTGCTTTTCTCCCTTTCTCACTGGAAAGGTAAAGATGATTCTCAGCTACCAACCAGTCTCTCCACAAGAGTTATTAGTTTAATAATGGCTAGAAAGGCATCACAAGCCCAAATAAATCAGAGAGGAAAGGAAGGCTTGAAAGAAGGAAAGAAAGGAGAGAGGAAGGAAATTCATCAATTAGAGGTGATTTGGCACCTTCCACATAAACCCTGGCAGAATGGTTGGTTCTAGAACTACTTAGATTTTTATTGCTAGGTAAATCATAGTCCTCCTCCAAGCTCTCTTGAAATTTCAACATCTTAGGATCATACTACAAGTAGCCGAGCTGTTCAACTAAAAGCTGAGGTCAAGAGAGCCTATGCAGAAATAACCTTTCTGGGAACTATTACAGACACAGTGAGGCTGAAACCTTTGTGCATGGACAAATAGCCTGTCTGGCTCAATACCAGCAACCATCATCCCTTCCTCTGCTGGCCTCTAGATCGGCAAGTCATATCAAGTGCCCATCTGGGGAGGTGGCAAGGATGGCAGAGTATACAAAGTAAATGGAACCACTTACCAATTCATTCACCAACTCTCTTGCCCTTTTTAGTTTTAAATTTTATTTCCAGTTTAATACCTTTCATCTTATTTAAACTTTTGCCTTTTATTTGTTTATTATAAAAGAAATAAGTGCTCATTGTAGACAAATTAGAAAATTCACATTAACAAAATAAAAATATGGAAATGAGAAATCACTGATAGGCCCAGTACCTAGAGAGACCCCTTGTTAACATATTGCTGTATACCCTTCCAGAGTTTTTCATAGTAAATACACATAAAATTTCCCAGAATTAGTTATTTTAAAAACTCATTCCAGATTCTATTCTACTGGCATATTAACTTAAAACTGTCCTAGCTGCGACTCCCAGGCCCATCTTACAGGGACACTGACAGAAACGTTAGAGACTCCTGGACAAATCATCTTACTCTTATTTCAATTCCATTCTGGCCATTTAGGGATTCTTTGCCAAGGAGCAGGTC